GTTCTGGTCCTTTGCACCCCAGCTCAGTGGCCCGGTGTGGGACAAGGGCCAGCTTCAGCTCAAAGGCTTTTTCACTTTGAAAGAATAGAAGGAAGGAAGAAAGAAGCAGAAAAATATATTAAAATGAGAGATTTTATATTAGTTATGTGATCCCCCGGGAGCAACCATAAAATTATGTGGCTTTTTCGTAGCCATTTACTATTCAATATAAAAAGGGTAGTTGCCATAACAACCACTGCATCATACGACACCCGATACCTTGGCGAAACAGGGAGTGCTCTTAAATCAACTCCCCAAATTTCATATGAAAGTAAATACATTTTACTGGTGATTTCAAGGCAAGTTTGCATCGTGATGGGCAACGCGGTGCCAATTACCCCCCTAAAGCTTCTGGTCCCAATCCTGCAAACTGGGAAATGTCTTCAGGCCCCGAAGCCGACATTACTCAGCAGTGTGGGAGATGAGATGCTAAAGGAGTGTGTTTTCCTAAGTAAAATTAAATAGAAGGAGCAAATGGCACCTTTTTTTTTTTTTGACATTTGTTGCTGACTGGGGAACGCCAAAAAACTAAAGAAGTTGAGCTACGTTACAGCTTAAGTTCCAGCTGCCAACTGTGTGATCAGCACAAAGGAGGGAGACGGAGGGAGGGGGGGGGTAAAAAAAAAAAAAAAGATGTTTGTGTAAGCTCACATTTGACTTTGGAGTTTGTCTGGCTCACAATCTGGTCCGCACGTGCGACGTTGAGGGGGTCGAAGTGACATCACCCTCGAGATCCGCTTTGGCTCCTCTCTGGCCAGCAATAACGATGGGGGGGGGGGGTGGGCAGGGGGGGGACATCCCCTGGAGCTGCAGGGTCTGTGTCCCGGTGACAGCCCTGGGGGGAAAGAGGTGAAAAATGGTTCTAGAGGAGCTGTTTGGGTCTCACCCAAGGAGGGTCCCCGCCGTCAGGTCCCCGTAGCAGAGCAGGTGCTTTTTGTTGCAGCCTTTTGGTGCCATCCGCGGGGCTGCTCCTGAGGACAGTTGCCATCACACACACACACACACACACAGGTATTTTTTTGTTCCAGAAAACGTGTATTTTCCAGGCAGAGAGAGTGCTCGGGTGGCAGCAGTGGGAGATGGCATCCCCACGGGGGCCTGTGTTGGGATATCGAGCCAAGATCCGCTTCCTAAATTTGGGGTTGTCCATCTAAATTGAAGAGTCTGGTTGGGATATCTCTTTGTTTTACTTGCTGGTTTTTTTTTAATTCTTTTTTCTTTAATACAGAAAAAAAACCCCGTACTTATTAGACTCCTAACTATGCCGCCCTTTCCTGTAAGCTGAGCTGTTTCTTTCATGGGCAAACAGACAAGATCCCCAGGTTGTGGAGAGAAGCTCTCTGTCACCAACCCAACGTGCCTCAGTGCTGCTCAACAAACACTGCTTTCCAGTTTCCCTTACAAATTCTTTATATTTGTCCTTTATCACCTTAAAATTCCCCCCTAGCCAATACACCAGGATGTATTTTCAGTGGCAAGAAAAGGCAACCATAATTTCTTTTTTAGTAGCCAACCTATTTCAGACTACCTACATTTGGTACCAAAAACAATTAAAAAATGGGTGTGACGCTGACTTAACCCCCCTGTGCCCTCAACAATGAAAAAGTGCAGGAAAACATAAAGTTATAGGATGTATTTTCAGTGGCAAGAAAAGGCAAACAATTTCTTTTTTAGTAACCAACCTATTTCAGACTACCTATGTTCTGTACCAAAAACAATTAAAAAAATGTGTGTGACACTGACTTAAACCCCACGTGTCCTCAACAATGAAAAAGATAAGTGCAGGAAAACATGAAGTTAGTGTTTTAGCATCATCTTTGAGGCTGAGAGCTCCTGCATCACCTCCTGTCCTGCTCGGTGCTGCCCGCCCCGCAGCAGCCCCGCTCTGTCCCATCAATTAAAATACTTCTCATTTTTGACACAATTCTTTAAGTTAATCTTTCCACTGATGTTCGTCATCGGAGTGGAATTTACATTTGTTTTGTGTATTTTTAGCCAGTGACCAGTTTTCCACAGCAGCCTTGAAAACTATTTAGCCTGAATTGTTAGCATTTCGCTTTGCACAGGCTGGCTGTTTTGGTGCTGAGGGTCAGGAGGCTTTTTTTGGTTGGTTTTTTTTGGGGGGGGAATGATTTGTAGAGGTTTTGAATGCACAAGGCTTACATCAAGTTCAATACAAGTGAGGAGGATGTGTGGGGCAGACACAGCCTCTGGACAGGGGTTCTTGTTTTCAAGCCTGTGGGGTGTGAGGATGCAGAGGGTGGTCGCTGCCTCCCGAAAGGGATGTGAGCCCTCACCCAAGCATCCCAAGCTCCACAAGGAGCATCCCAAACAGCACCATTTCCCATTTTCATCCCCAATCTGCCACGCTGACCGCTCTGCCAAATAGCTGAAGGGATTTTTCCTTTTCGTACAGGAACAGGGTATTTTTATGGGGCTTTGCTTTTTTTGCTGGAAGCCGTTTCCTCATCTGCATCCGTGGACACTGGCTCGAGGAAGTCACCCTCAGTGCTCTGTGGTTCTCCTGTCTATTAATCACGTGTCGCGCTCCGTGGGGGCTGTTTGCCTTTCATCTGACACATCTCGAGGGCTTTTCCTTTCATGGTCCCCACACTCGAAGAAATTCAGCGCTTTCCAATGATTTCTTGCACTGAGACACAGGGGAAAATAGTCCCTTCAGTGCAAGGGACAGAACGCAGTGGGCTAAATTAAGCTATTTAGGGAATTCCCCCTCAAAACATCCCACAGAAACCTCCAGGCAGGTTTGCAGCCACGACTGTAACCTCGAGCGTTTGACAAAAATCCTTTCCTGAATGCTTCTGTCGGGCTCCAAAAAGTAACGTCTTGTTCATTTTAGTAATTGTTTGGTTGCTTTGGGTTTAAAAAAGTTATTAAAAAAATAATATATATATTTTTAAGGGGGCTATTATAGCCCAGTGGGTACTGCTTTGGAGGGGAAATACAGTCTGTTCTTCCAGAGGGTATTGCTAATAATTTTCCCTTTGGAAATCTCAGTTTAAGGTTGCTTTCCTCGGCCTGCTGTTGACTTGCTCTGACTCTGGGGACAAGTCACCCGTCCTTGCTGGACCTGGGCAGGCAGGGACACCCTGGTTTCTGCTCCAGACACCCGTTATTTATCAGCTTGGCTCAACTCTTAATTATTGAAAATTAAAATGCCCCTTCTTAGGGAAGCCTTGGCCCTCTGGCGTTATTCATCTGGGCTTTGTTTTACGAGTGGCAGATAGATGAAAGCAGAGAAAAGGCTCCCAAACCCAAACCTGAGCCGACCCTCTCAGATCTACACCCTGCACATCAACAGCCGCAAAGTGGTTAAGAGACTTGATGCGAAGCTGATAAAATGCCAAAAATTCCTCATTCTCTCTCTTGGGGAGCAGGGAAGGTTGTCTGGAAAATGTCAACAATAAAAATTGCATTTAAGTGGTATATAATGCAGCCAGCTACTGTGGGCAGAGTTACGCGCAGCCAGACGAAAGGGTTTAAAGAGCACGAGCTCCCTGTGCTACCTCCTGTCCCAGCTGGAGCCCCCGGAGCAGCCCCACCACGACTGGCTCTCCTCAGCTCAGATGGGCATGGAATGGAAGGGGTTCCTGAGCCCAAACACCCAACACGGAGCAAATGTCTTCTGTTCCTTGATAATTCTCATTTAAAATCGGCTAAATCCGCAATCAGTGCAAACTGATGCTGCTCTGCTGGATTGTGTCCATCCATCCATCCATTTAACTACCACCAGTTGAAGACACCACCTGTTGTCTTCTTCCCTCCTTGGCCCTTTGCCTGTGCCTCCATGGGGGCTGGACGTGTCCTTGCAGGCTGCTTTGGGCACCCCAGCCTGGCTGGAGATCCCCTCACCTCTAGGAGTTGCCAGACTCGGCGAGGACAGACTCAATTAGCCAATTTGGGAGAGGGAAGAAGAGATTGAAAAGGGTTACGCCAAGAAAACAAGAAGAAAGCAGTATTTCTTCTTTGCCCAGTTAAAGGAATAAAAGGCTTTTCTCAAAAACCATTCCATTTCTTAAAAGAAATTCCATTTCTTAAATGCATTTTCTTCTGTAGCATCTGGGCACGTCCCTTCTTTGTGGAAGAACAATGCTGCTGGGGACTGGGCTGGGTGGCACGGCCAGGGCTTGGGCCAGCTGCCCCCCGGCTCCGGTGGCCCCACTCGGCCCCTGATGCTCCATCTGAGGATCCTGGGCTGTGTGTGATCCCTGCTGGACCTCAGAGCTCCCTCGCTCTGCCCCGGCCCCCACCAAAAAAAAGCCCTTGTCCAGCTCCTGCCTCTCACTCACAGGGACCTGAGCAAAGGGCAGAAGCCACCGAGTGACTACGAGAGGTGCCCAGACCCGGCCACCCCCACGGAGCTGCTCCACGAACAGGAGGGGGGGAAAAAAAATAATCTCCTCTTTGCTCTTTTCTAGTTTTTTTTTACCAGCAGATAAAAGAAAAATAGCTTGCTCCCCCCTGCCCCCCACCTCTGTGGTTTGTGTGATTGGGTTTTTTTTTTTTTGCCTCTGCTAAACTGTGTGTTTTTCAGCTCAGTAAAGTATTTATTAGGAATCTTTATGGACCAGTCTGCTGGTGAATTATAGATATTGTACAGCTTCAGCATGAGCTGGGAAAAAAATTTATGACTTTTTTTCCACCCAGACTGACTCTATCCAATAGCAATAAGAAAATGAGGGTTTACCAGGAAAGCTTTAAGTTCAGCTCTGCTTGCCAGAGCAGCGGATACCTTTTCTGCCTTGGTTCATGTGCGTTTATAGAATGTCATTTTTCCCCTCTAATTTGGAAGCAGAGCTAAAGCTGAGCACTAGTGGGTTTTTGTGTCCTGCTGAAGCCTGTCAGTTGAACAGCTATGGCTTATGTTTGGTTTGTGTTGTGGTTTTGTTTTTTTTTTTTTAAAAAAAATTGGATTTCTTACTTTAGCATCAATTGTTTTTCAGATCATTCTTAATTCAATGCATAAATACCAACCGCGGCTGCACATCGTGAAGGCGGATGAGAACAACGCTTTCGGGTCGAAGAACACCGCCTTCTGCACCCACGTTTTTCCAGAGACCTCCTTTATATCCGTGACCTCCTACCAGAACCACAAGGTAGGCTGCTTTTCTGCCTAAAAAGTGCTTCGTTTTTCTCTCTGTGGGCTTTTTGCAACTCGCACCCTCTGCTGCCGACGGCTGCGAAACGACCTTCCAAGCTGCCTCGGAGCGGGGATGTGGCTGCGGTGCTGGGCTTTGGGGGGGGACACAGGATTTATGCTGCTATTGTGCAGCAGAAAATGCCTGCTTTTTTAAAAAAAAGAGGAGTTTCCACCACCCCAGCCCCGCCAGCATGAAGCAAGAGCTGATGAGCCAGAGGATGCAGCAGAGGAGCAGCCCGAGCATCGGTTGGGCAACAATATCTTGGCAAACCCCTGCGAGGCCGGACGCTAATGAACGGGCGTGCTCATAAAGGCTGAGATGTCATTCAAAACAGCAAGCAAAGCTAATAATGACTAGTAAAGCTTGCTCATAAATCTGCAGTGAAAAGTAATTATAGTATGTGTATTTAGTGAGACATATGAGGAATGTAACCATAAAAACGCGGCTAAGAGCCTGCTCTGTGCTTGGCACACGAAGGCAGGAGGGGGTCTGGGGGGGATATAAAGTACAAAGGGCTGGGTGCTGCGCTTTGGGGGGGTGTGACAGACACCCCCATATTGCAGGGTTCGGCTGCTCTGCTGCGTTTTTGGGTGGTGGCAGTGGGTAGTCTGAGGATTTTACCAACCCAGGTTACGATGGGAGGGACAGCAATGTGACAGTCAATTGTCACCTCCCTGGTGGGGAGGTGTCACCCCACCGTGGTGGTGGGGAGAGGAGAGGGTACCAGGCAGGGGATGGCAAGGCTCCATTTTCAATCCTGCTTCTCCCTGTTTACCTGCCTTTGCACAAGCTCCTGCTCCCCTGCAGCTTTCCTACTGGTTGATGTCCAACTGCAGGGTTGTATGAGAATTAATTGGAGTTTTTAAAGTACATTGGGATCCATAAATAAAGGCACAGAGTGCCATGTGTTCCTGTCCCAGCTCCTTTTCTACACAGTCATGGGAAACTACTACAGGAACAGGAACATACATGAAATTCTTCCTCCCCAATTATCTGACCAGAGCTTTTCCTCCCAAGCAGGATGCCTGTGTGCCCTTTGATGCTTGAAGCGTAGAGTCCTTGCAAGATTTTTGCAATTAGTGAGCCCGTTAAAAAGCTCAGGGCAGAAACATAGATGTGTGTGTTATGGTAAGACAGGGGAAGGAAAAAAAATTAAAAAAAAGTCATCCCTATTTGGACACTGAAGTGAATCCTGTTTGAAAAGTTGTAGCTGTTGGTGTAAAATGACCAGTTGCCCAAACATGGTTAACCAAAGAGGCTCGAAAGAGCTTATTTAATAGCTACTTAAAATGTCTTGCGTGTCAATACTGCCTTTCATCCCTAAGGTTCCCAAAGTACTTTATAAACTTAATACTTCCACTGTCATTGCCATACAACCACTCTTGGGGGGGCGGTCGCTGACAGCAGCAGCACGGGGTGAACCTGATGGGTTTAAGGAAAATGCCCCAGACAAGCCCTAATTCTTTTGGGAAGCTCCTGCCAGGAACCACCCGGCTCTTGCTCTGCATTTTTCAGGCTGGGGGGGCTGGATGCTGCCAGGCTGGGGGGGGGATGATGACAGCAGTCCACAGCTGAGGAGCGGGAGGCAGAAGGTCTCACCACAACCTCACTGTGGTTTCAAGTAAATCACAACCTCAGAGAAATATCCAACTGGTTTACTTATTCTCTTAGGCATTAACAATTGAAATCCCGGTGTAGGCATCTTTTAGAAAAACCAAACCACCAAATTCTTTTTAACTCAGAAATATCCTGCCAGCAAGAGCTGTCCTTGCAAATAATCGTCTTTCTAAACAAACAAGGAGAGTTGTGGTTACAGAGCTGACTGTGGGGCTCCCAGAGATGGAAGACTGATGACAGAGGCTACCCCTAAGTACAGCTCGGTGAGGGAGGTGTAGGTGGTCACTCAAAACTCCCTCCTGGGCAAAAGGCAACACCTTTCCTTTGCCCAATGACAATTCATTATTTCATATAGGGCAAAAGGCAACACCTTTCCTTTGCCCAACAACAATTCATTATTTCATAGAATCATAGAATGAATCATAGAATGGTTTGGGTTGGAAGGGACCTTAAAGATCACCAAGTTCCACCCCCCTTCCCCGGGCAGGGACACCTCCCACCAGCCCAGGTTGCTCCAAGCCCCCTCCAACCTGGCCTTGAACCCCTCCAGGGATGGGGCATCCATGACTTCACTGGGCAACCTATTCCAGTGCCTCACCACCCTCACAGGAAAGAATTTCTTTCTGGTATCTCATCTAAATGTCCCCTCTTCCAATTTAAAACCATTAGCTCTCGTCCTGTCACTGCACTCCCTGACAGAGTCCCTCCCCAGCTCTCCTGTAGCCTCTTCAGATATTGGAAGGCTGCTCTAAGGTCTCCCTGGAGCCTTCTCTTCTCCAGGTGAGAAGAGTTTGAGTTACAAGACTTCACAACAGAAAAATGACTATAAAGATATATAAAATTGTTATGGAACTGAGGGAGAGCCATGCTGTAAGGAATGGGAGTGTCTAACATGGAGACATAGAAAGCCTTCTTTTACATCAGACAAACATATTCTTGCTAACAAGAGCCCAGAATAAGAACACAGGACCCAGGCTTAAGGAAAATCGCATCCCTGTCCTCAATTTTGTCAGCTTTAAAAGCTGCTTCTGCAAGATGTAGCACTGACCTTCACGGCCGAGTTTCTCCCTCAGCTCTGAAGGCAGAGACACCTTCTCTGCCACCCCGTTTCCAGAGGGCTGAACCTCTCGTGGACTCTGCATTTCACTGCTCTGTTTTCAAACGTTTTATGCTCCGTTTCATTCTTTTAAAGATAACCCAGCTGAAAATCGAGAACAACCCCTTTGCCAAGGGATTCAGGGGGAGCGACGACAGCGACCTGCGCGTGGCACGGCTGCAGAGGTACGGCCTAGCGGGGACGGCGGCGAGGAGGGGCTCCGTGGGGTGCTCTCCTGCCCTGCTCAGGGGGGTTAAGGGGGGGCTGCTGCAGTGCACACGCGTGTGCAAGGGTGCACTGAACCCAGGCAGCAGGCACGGGCAGGCTGTGTCCAACAGCCTGTGCAGAAATAGTCTCAATGACCATATAAATATTGAGTTACTTTGGGCCTTTTTGTCCTTTTCACGTGTTCTGCTGTTTTTGCTTAAAAAGCAATAGTGTTTAAATCAGGGGGATTTCTATCACAGCAAGATGTTATTCCATGGGCAACAGATAAATTTAACAGGGTACTGATTTTATCTACAGGTCCCTTGCTAACACCAGCCCAGGGGAAAAATTAAAATCCTGAAATAAACATAGGATTCCCAACCACCAGAACAAACGGCACCTGCAGTCAGTAGCTACGTCTGTCTAAGCCATGGAAGTAAATCTTCCTGTGGGAAATGCCCAGCCTATATATATGGGCACCCTCCTGTATAAATAAACCCATCCCAACGGGGAGAGCCACCCCAGCACGGGCACCACCTGTGCTGAGAGGCTGAGGAAGGTGGGGACACAGTGGTGGCTTCCCAGGAGCCCTGCTCCACCGGTGCAGAGGAGGCTTAGGCAGTGCAGAGTTCTCACTCCCAACACAATCCTGTGCCCCCACCTCGTTACACCACACTCATTTCCTCCCAAATGATGCTTTAGTTCTTATTCTGCTACTAGTGTGTTGCACCTCTTTGGAGTTGTTGAAGGTGCGGAGGCATCACGTTTTCTTGCTTTTGAAGGCATCAGGGCTTTTAATGACATTTATACCCCTGAAAAGTTCTTCCTGTAAACCAGTGACACACTCTGTGTGTTGTTGTAATACTTGCCCACACCCAGCAAAGTGTGATGAGTTCATCACATTTGGCCAGGGATGTTGAAGTCGTTGGATGGGGATGCTCTAGGGAACCCAAACTAACATTTCATCTCTCTGTTAATGCCGATTGCTCTCTAACTGGCAATAATTTTTCTTACCTCCTTTAGCAAAGAATATCCAGTAATTTCCAAAAGCATCATGAGGCAGAGGTTGGTGTCCAGTCA